TAACTATGCAAGAGGAACCATGCGTGAGTTAGTATAGAAAGGGATGTAAGATGTGGGTATTAGAGGAATCGAGAGAACACTTACCTGCTCTTGTGCGTATGGTTGCTTGTCTTGCTTTCGGCCTGGGGATGGTGGGTGCGTCGGGTGAGAACCTATCGAAGCGACTGTGATTCCCTGTATATCCTGATGTAATGAGTGCGTCGGGGCGATAACCCTGGATGTCGAATCGATTGGYTGTAATGACCTGGTTAGGGGTGCTTGATCCTCCCAATTTTCCCGATCTTGCTCCGATCAACCCGATTTGTTTGACTCCTTATGGATTCCCTCTACGCCTTTTTTCTTTCCCACTCCCCCTCCTTTTTCCTMTGTTTCTTTACGCCTGGGTTGGATGAGATCCCTATGTGCTGGATGTCAGGCCATGCTTCTCGCCGAGGAGATCAGGAGCAGGGGACGAAATCTGAAGCGTAACACTGTGGATGGGTGAATATCGGAGCATTCGAGGAGATGAGTCGCTACTAGCGCCAGCTGTTCCARGGGGATATGGTGATGGGGGTGAGGGGGATGCAGTATGTGTGTGATACGGGATAGGGGGATGGGGTTGTTGGCCCAAGCTAAGATGTATGATTTGTATATCTTGTATGGTTTATTTTGTCGGGGAAYGTASGCRTTGTAATCAAACTGGACAGAGGGCATTCGGATGATGTATTCTTTTTGAGGTGGTTGTTGGATAGTCAATAAAGGTTTTCCTTCTCAACGGAACGGGATGGYTGTAGATATGGGGGCATGGCGATGGGATAAGTTGTGAGGCTCRACTCRGCTCTGCGGATTTTGRAAATCGGATAAGGCATGAGCARGATTTKTTTTTTGAATATGTCATTTTGCTCTGAATTTGTCGCTRTGGAGGCAAATGCGTGCTGCTGTGTGATTTTTCGGGATATTTTTTAGATTAAGCAGAGGGAGTGAGGTGATCGATGTGCAATAATTGGGAGGAGAATTGGGTGAATGGGGGGTTAATGCTCGGGCCATCGTAGTTTTTCGGGAGCCTACTCTAGACTTCATAAAGATTAGTTGCCTCTCATGGGTCATACTCTTGTAAGAAGTGGGGCTGAAGTCTTTTGCTTGAAGAATAAGTGGGTGGTCGGATCGACTTTTTTTTCTCTCTCTCTCTCTCTCTCTCTCTCTCTCTCTCTCTCTTTCTCTCTCTCTCTCGCTCTCTCTCTCCCTCTTTGACTGCGAGTGGTTCGAGTGTTCCCGTTTTTCTTTCTTTCTTTCGGTCTTTCGTTCTTTTTTTCTTTCTCTCGTTCTTTCTTTCTTTCCTTCTTTCTTTCTTTCTTTCTTTCTTTCTTTCTTTCTTCTTTTCTTCCTTCCTTCCTTCCTTCGATTGGCTATCGGATCCCCGGTGTGGTCTAAGAAATGTCTACTTGTCTGAAAGTCTATGTTAAGGTCTTCCTCGGTCCCCATGTTTGTTGCTTATTGGGAAAAGTTGGGTTTGACTAATTACTCCATTAGATCCAAAGCTTGTGAAGCATAGTGGGAGTCATGGGAGGATGGGGTATGCTGAGTTTATTTGAAATGGGAAATGATGTGGATTAATTGAAAGCCGTGGTGATCGGAGTAGCTTGAATGGGTGGTGCCTTGTGCAGTGACTATGAATGAAGTACATGTGTCTCGTGTACTGAGGCCACCGCAATATGTGTTTACACATATCATCATACACACAACCTGGCTCAGAAGGAGTACTTCTGGCAGGCTTTTCCTTTCACGGCTAATACCCGTGATCATTCATTCGTGATGCATGAATAAGGCAGCTGTCATCGCATCTTGTGGTTTGAGATCCTATGGGGCTCCCAATTGATTTACTGGTTGTTCCCTGTACATCAAAGTTGACTTAGATGCTTATGACATCTCATCTGTTTTCTGGATGTTTTGAAGACTTTGTCTACCCGGAAGTTCTATGGATTCCCGACCTGCTCACCGGCAGTAACGCATGGTTGTCCCGATTCCGCCCTCCCTCACGCCCCACGCAAGCCCTGATTGCTTATGCGCAGAAGCAGGTAGTAGCAGAGGTTGGAGAGAGGTCGATAAACCCTGAGATCCAGGCACTCCCATTGATCGATCATCTTTCCTTCAATGATTGGGCCGAACTGATCTACGTATACTGTCACAAGAGAGCACAGTTCGTAGACGTTCAGAACTAGATGGCGAGGGACACAACAAAGGTGAGGGATGAGTTACAGAGGGAAGATGAAACGATTAATGATAGGACGATAGAAGCTGAGACAAAGCTGGTCAAACTTTGGGGGGCGGATTCGCAATTTCATAAGGAAAGGGAGAATAGGATGGTGGCGATAATGGATGAAGTGGCGATGGACGATGCGGAGGATGAGTTGACGGAGGTCGAGAAGGAATATATGAGGAAGAAGGAAGCAGAGATGTTGAGGACAAAGGCGTGCTTGGAAAGTACGAAGAAAAAGTCGGTCTGTGATAGTAGGAGGAATGCGTTTGTCCCGTTGGCATCTCCGAGATGGGTGGAGACCATGTCCACGGCATTCGCAGGGAAGGTCTGGTCCTTAGAAACTTTCAATTATCTCGCTCCTATAGATTCGAGAGGGTACCGCCTACTGGCATCTCTGACCCAAGAAGAGATGAAGAGTGCATATGAGAGGGCACTGGATATGAACACTGCCCCTCCGGATGTCAAATTCTCGTTCAATGGAAATGGTGTCTTTCTTCCCTTGATGAGTTTGATGGACACTAATAAGTGTAACCTTTCTCGCCCATCGGTGCTGATCAGGGGGAATAAACCCCCCTAGAACCCGTCAGCGCTAGCGGAACTTAAGAGGATCTGGAACGTTGGTCGGCCTTACTTGAAATGTAGATGTGCTGCGGAGGGTAGAGCGGATAGTGGCTCAGGGCCAGCATGGTTTGATCACTTCGTATGGTTCCTCCTGTACAATCTGGATATTCTATATCCTGACGCACCGACCCCGAAGGCAAAAGTGACGACACGTATCAAGTGCCTCTCGACATGCTGGAAGCCTCTCATGCTCACATCCATTTCATTTCGATGTGTAAGGGAGGCGATGATGCTTCTGATGAAGAAAATCGTCGTTGACCCATCTCTTACCGCTGATAATGTCATGCTTGGGGTTAATGGGGCGGATCGAAAGGCATTCAAGGAATGCGCAAAGCTATTCTTGATGTCAAAATATGTCAAGAAGAGGACCAGGCCTGCTGAGGCTGCTTCCTCGTC